ATAGAACGATATAGTTCTGTTTAGAATAGCAGTGTTAACAATGTAATCCTATGCAAATTTACTCCATTCTAAGCCCACTAATGTCAGTGGGCTCGGACTGGAGTAACTACATAGGATTGCACTGTAAGTGTAGAAAATGATCCAAGGAGGTGAGCATGCAATGGTTCTGGCACTTGGATATAGCCATAAGAATCAGTGCACTCTTGTATTGCCCTGTTTGCAAAGCTGTGCCCCATATAGTAATTTAAGCTCATCGTACCCCACCTATAGTGCTCGTTCACCAGTTATAGAATCATAGAGTTGGAAGGGGCCATACAGATCATCTAGTCCAACCCCCTGCCCAAAGCATGATCAGCCTAAAGCATCTCTGACAAATATTTGTCCAGCCCCTTTTTGAAAGCTGTCAGTGAAGGGGAGCCAACCACCTCCCTAGGCAGTTGAGGGTGGAAGAACTCCCACCCCCTTGTTGCCTGTCCTCACTTTGGTGAAGGGCTGGGAGGAAATGTGGTGAGATTGGCTCCCCATGGGGGCCAGAATAGCATCCCATAATGTCATAGCATCATTTTCAGCTACATAACTGGAAATGACATCACCACACCACAGGATGCTCTAGCATTCACTCAAAACTGTATGATAAAGCCATAGAGTTTCAGGTAATGTTAAAGCGCCCTGAGACACAGTGATGTCAGTTCTGGTTACACAGCCAGAATTGATGTCATAATGTTGTGGGATGCTGTTATGATGAGTTTCTACCCCATTCAGTTTTCTGGTGGTTGCAAGCTTAACTCCCCCCCAAAGAACAGCCTGCACTTGTCTGCAGGTTATTCTTCGTGAGTTTGCAGTAAAGGTCATCAGGAGAAAGCATGCTGTAAAAAGACATACCAAAGGATGCTTTTGCCTCTGCTGTTACTGGGAGTAACTCATCACCCAGGGCTGTCACAAATGCTTACTGCTTCCAGCAACCATATATTGGTTGTTGGATCCAGGTGGCCATTGCTTGAACCCCACCACTCGTATACAGCACTGAGGAAGAGAGTGGCATCCCCACCCCCTTCCTTCCAGCATGGACTGGAATTCTCATGATCTGCAGCAGGTACAAGCCCAAGATGCAACAACTTCCCGTTAGAAATTCCCTTTAGAGGTTCCCTTCCTTGCATTCATGTACTGAATTGTGCCCATAGATTCCAAAAGTGATGGCAGAATGCATTGTTTAAAAAATCACATGGAGAAACAAGTCTTTTATGTTTTACCCTTTTACTTTACAAAGCATCGATTGCTAAAATTTTGGGTTATCTTAGACAATTTGTACTTGATACTCCAGAAGAATCTTGTTGTCTTGTGTTTCCTTTTCAGCCTTGTCACTTATATCCTGTTCATTGATTTTTGTGAAAGAATTTAATGTTCTAAGGATATTGCATAAAGGAAATTATACGGTGGGGGGACTTTCTGGTATTTTGTACTAGCAGCTCGCAGTTAGCAAAGTACATAAAGGACATAGTAATACTCCATCAAGCTCCAATGGGAATTAAATACATGTACTGAATGGTATGTCGTAATGTATTTCCTGGAGTCGTTACTTCTCTAAACAAGTGACGTTCAGACTCACACAGATCAGCTGCCTTTGTCCACTCAGTGACACACTGGACACACACTGGACACACACTATTAGTCGGGTTGACTGAGTCAGTGCTGCTTAGAGTTAAAATTAATGCAAAGCTGGTACAGAATGGGGTTGTTGTTGTTGTTGCTTTATTTTAAGAAATTACAGTTTTTTCCAGCGCTGAAAATGGTTTTCAAGTATTGTCAAAATACATAAAACTGAAATAACGTTACTGCAGCAGGCTTACCCATGGGTATAACTGCCACATGAGTAGTCTACTTACATGAGCAACATCTGAACAGGAGTCTCATGAGAAATGGCTCCATCTCCACAATGTAGTTAAAAATGTAGTTTTTAAAATCATGGTAGAATGATCCTGGGAGAAAGGCCATAGTGCAGCACCTGCTTTACATGCAGAAGGTCCTAGTCTGAATCTCCAGCAGCTCTCATGAAAGGATTTCAGGTAAAGACCTTGGAGTGCTACTGCCATTCAAGGCAGACTGTAGTGGATAAACCAGTGATTCAGTATAAGGGATCCTCCATGAGACCCCTTCTCCAATGTCACATTGGAATGCTGTCTGCAGTGCCACTTCACTGTTGTGCATCCCACAAAGCCCAATAGCCAGGGTAGTCTTGGGTATTAAGCCTATGTTTAGTGTTTGAGTGAGGGTTCTTCCTAGTATGAGCACAAACTCATACATTCGGTGCCAGAACTCAGCACTAGAGGATGATTTGAATGTGCAAATCTATAACCAAACTACCATTTTAGTCAGTGATCCCTTCCCCGCTCTGTCTCACTCATTAAAAGCATGAGAAATAAAATTTGATCCTGTTCATGTTTTAGCAGTCATCGGCCCCAGCCACAGGTGCCAGAAAACGTGGGGGGGGGAGGCGTGGCTATTTGCGCCATCACATTCTGATCCACCATTATGCGATCAGATGCGCCGGGGGCACGCCGGGGTTTTGTCCTTCGGCGCACGCTGCAAAGAGGACAGCTGGAGGGAATAGGCGCGCACTGGCACCATCACATTGGACGAGTCCATCTGCAGTCCGTGGCAAACCATTTGCTAGTAGATCTTTGCATGTACTTTTTAACTGCACATCTTCGGCAGCACACCATGAGTTGGCCATGGGTGTGCTACGCTTGCCAGATATTGTGGTGTGATTACACCCCGAAAATCCACCCAGCATTCGTGCCTTTCGCACGGCAAATTCGTGTGACTGGGGCCATCTTTTGCTTGTCTCAGCAATGTGCTGGGACTCTTAGAGCAAGGTCTCCGTGATACCAGATGAGCTACTCTGATTCTGTCAAAAGACATCCATTATTTGCTTTGATGAGTAAATGAGGCAGAAGCCTCTAGAGGAAAAAAATTAATCTAATATCCCGGACCTGCTTTACAATAGGCTTTTGTGAGCAATCATCCAAGATATCCAGTCTATGGCAATGTTCTTCATACTGTAGCATTTTTACCTGATCATTTTTGGTTCACCTAGCGCAGGAGGCATTTCTGTATTTCTGTTCCTCAAAATACTGTCACTACGAATTATTCCTCTTTTCTTGTTACCCCAGAAGCAAATTTGGTCTTTGTTTGCAATTCCCTTCAGTCCTTCCTAGAATCATGCAGGTCCATGCTGATTTTAAGAAGGAAAGTAGCTTTTACACTGGCCAGAGGAAAAGAGTGGTCTTCGTAGAGATATTCCAGACAGAGTTGTCAACTACTATGAGACTCAGGCTCAGGACCATATGCCTCTCTTTCCACCCCATCAGGGCACAGTAAAGGGTGAACTAGTGTGTGCCATGTCATCTTTCTGGCCACTTGTTCACAACCACTGTTCTTCCTCAGGACAAACCAGATCAGGAGATGCTACATTCAAGTAAATATGGGTACAACTCAGTGAATTTGTTGCTTTCTCCCGATGGTGGGGGAGAAGGGAATGCAAGACCACAAAACTCATACCAAGGTGTGAATTTGTAGTGAAAACTGAACATGGCTATGGAGAAGAATTGAGCAGTAATATGATGATGGCTGTTGCAGTCTCAAAGGTACAGGACCTTTCCTTCAATGGCTATTCCCAGACACCAATTAAACAATACGTTGCCACCACTGGAACAGAACTGGGGTATTATCAGGGGTACTGAGAGCATGAACATTACAACCTAGGTGGGTTTACTGATCATGAAGCTATATTTTTCAGACTCCAGGAACTGTAATCCTGTGACAAGTCAGATTTCTTTGTGCACAAAACATTTCCTGGATTTCACTAGGGAAAGCGATGACAGAACCAGATAGGTTATTATTGTTGCCTGAGTTATGTGTTCGCCGTCCTTCTACCAGTCGTGTTTTGATATTATAGCAAATTGGTTTTCAGTCTAGGAAACTGTTCCTCTGGAACTCCCAGGGGTTCCTCTGCAAAAAGACCAGCAGCGGCAGCTTTCTCACCACGACTGATCTTCCCTTGCAGTGCATGGCTACAAGGGAGAGTTGGGAGTGCTCTGTGTAGGGTTGCTGACTCCAGGTTGGGAAATGCCGGGGGATTTTGGGGGTGGAGTCTGAGGAGGGTGAGGTTTGGGGAGGGGAGGGACTTCAGTGGGGTATAATGCCATACAGGCCACCTTCCAAAGCAGCCATTTTCTCCAGGGGGACTGATCTTTGTTGCCTGGAGATCAGTTGTAATCCCAGGAGATTTCCAGCCACCACCTGGAGGCTGGCAACCCTAGCTCTATAGCAGAAGTGACTCTCAACAGGCCTTGCTGACATGCCATGCATGGTGTAGTGCTTAGTGTCTCCGCCTAGGGTCTGATAGCCACAGGTTTGATAGCCAATATTCAGAGTTTCCTTTGTAGCTAAGTTAATACGAGTTTCTTACAAAGTAGACAGTTTAAGAGCCATTATCAAGAAAGTAGAAACAGTAGCCTGGGCTCATGCCAAGGTTGGCTCATAGACATTTATCCGGAGGAAGATACCTCACTTAACACTGAAATTCTGTCCATAAACCCCGCTTGGTTAGCAACACCCTTTTGTATAGTTGTTAATTTAATCATTGCTATCTTCCACTGATTATTAATTATATAGAAGGTAGTTCCTGGTTCTTCATGCCATTTCCCTCCCCACAATATTTTTGGAGACACACAAACATACATGAAGCTGACTTCTAGTGAGTCAGACCATTGGTCCATCAAGGTCAGTACTGTCTACTCAGCAGCTCTCCAGAATCTCAGGTGGCGATCTTTTGCATCACCTGTGACCTGATCCAGGGATTGAACCTGGCACTTCTTGCTTCCCAAGCAGATGTTCTTCCACTGAGGCACAGCTCCAGTTGCTGATTAAGGATGACGTTTATTGGCCTTTAATTATTTATGCAAGAGGCCTTTTCTTTAAAATGTGCTTTTATTTTACAGCTCATTCAAACATTTGATTGGGGGCCTGGATGATGTTTCCAATAAAGCATATGAGGATGCCGAAGCAAAAGCAAAGTAAGTCCTTCCATCTTTCTTTTATCCTTCTGAGTGTTCTTGCCAGCATGCTACATTTTCAATTATGACATATTTTGTAAGCATTCTTGCTTTGATGCCATAAAAGATCTGCTACTGATTGTTAAAAATCTCACTTTCTCCCAAAGACAGAAAGCAGATTACATGGTATTTTGTAAATAAAAACAAATAAATAATCTCACAAGCCACAAAACAGGAGTGATGGGTTACATTTGGCTTGGTGGGCCAGAGGTTGTACAGGCCTTGGCTGGTTGCTGCGGCTACAGTAGTTCCCATTGCTTGTCATATGCAAGAAGAGAGAGGTACGAGGAGAAAAAGGGACCTAGCATGGATTGGGAAGGGGCAGGTGGGCCCAGCTTGCTCTCTGTCAGCCTAAGGCATCAGCAGGGATTTTTCTGCAAAGCAACCCCACAAAACCAGAGAGCAGGAGGATTCATTTTTGCTAAATCCCAAATTCCGTAATTGTTAGATAGTGACATCAACAGACAGATCCTTTGGTCCACAGGTTCACTACACATGGAAAGGAGAGGATAGTGGATGGTCACCTCCATCCACTGCAATTTCATATGTATTTTAGATTCCCTTCACATGGTTTATTGATCAAAGTAGAGCTCTAACATGTAATCCACATCCTGGCAAATCAATGATAAGGGCTGCTATAATTGCTACTTAAACATTCTTCTGCCTGAGTGGTCTTAATAGAAAGTTTTACAACTATGCATTATAGTTTAATCTTCTCTATGAAACGAGGAATGACTTTCATAATTTTTGCAATAAGCAGACAGAATCAAAGATTCTTGGGAGGCACAAATTGGGAAAGTATCTAAATAGTTTAAATTTGGCACGGTAAATATTGTATTCATAGCTTCTCTGGGGTATTGTTGATACAGCTGTAGCATTTCTCTGTGTTGGGGTGGTTGTGTATGTTATACCAAATTATAGCGTTTGGTATGTTATACCAAATTATAGCATTATGAGTGTCTAGCAGATACTGAGCTCAACCTGGATGGGGAATTGTACATATAGGTGGAAGCTGTGTACATTATACAAGGCTGTGCCATGTATCCCTTTAAACACTGTTACAGTCCTATTGGATTGGCTATTTGGACAAGGAAGAAGAAACTGGATTCAGTGCCCAACCACTGCTTAATTTCAGTGTTTTTCCTGCTGTTTAATATTGGTTAATGTTTTGTTTTGATTTTAATTGTTTATTGCTCTTACCACTGTGGGAATCTTTTTGCTGGTTGAGGAATAGGATATAAATGGTTGTAAATCAGCTGATCAGTGGATTTCAGCTTTATTTGAAAGGGCTGTTCTTGGGTCAGAGCCCCGATTAACTTATTTCATAAACATATGGTCCTTTGATAAGTTAGTCAGTTTTATTTGAAGATCGAGTATTATAAAATCAGCCAGTGGATAACTAGCAGGTACTTCTGTGCATTGCCAGACTTCATAGGAATCCCAACCCCGACTGTCAGGCACCAGGGTTTAATTTGGCTGGTGGGCCTTCCCTTGGTCTCACAGTTCCCTCTAAGATGAGTTCATGTGAGCTAGCTCACAGTTTTTTAGCCTCTGGCTCACACATTTTTGTCTTAGTTCAGGAAGGATGGCTCCAGAGCAAACTAACTTATGTAGCAGCCAAATTGCTCACTCACAACTTTAATGCCAGTAGCTCACAAAGTAGAATTTTTGCTCACAAGACTCCACAGCTTAGAGGGAGCATCAGACTGAGAAGGATGGGGGTTGGATGCCACCCTAATCCACCTCCTCTCCCCTAGCTCTACTCCCTTCTGAGGTGGGAGCCATAGCAGGTCTGTCCTCCTTGACATCCTCCCCCAAGACTTTTGAAGGCCCTAGACAGGCCAGGGGCATGCCCAGTGGCCTCCCTCTACCCAGAAGATTTATGGAGGTGTGGCCCAGCCTGTGAAGGATCAGTAGCATCTCCTGAGCCATTTTTGCCTCTTTCCTGTCCTTTCACACTCTCAGGTTGGAGCTTCTAAATGGCTGATTATCAGACAGCTGGCTGTCAAAGGACCAGCTGTCAATGGGTACCTGAGTCTTAAAGGGCCAGTTGCCACTGGCCAGTTGGCTGGTATGCAGCTCTTTATAAGGTCACTGGGTCTGATGGCTGCTGAGCTTCACCTGATGAGGGACTGAGAAGGAGGGAGTATATTGTTGTCTCCACCACTTCCAGACAGCTTTATCTAATATAAAGCTATGTCCATATTATTTAATCATCATCTTGATTCTTAAACATATCTGCTTTAATTTCCGTGATTTAAAGATAGTCTACTTCTATGCTGCGCTGTCAGATGTAATCAAAACATGACTTACAGTACAATCCTAAACAGAATTACACCCTTCTAAGTCCATTGAAGTCACTGGGTTTAGGTATAATTGTATTTAGGACTGCAGTGTTACATAGCAAAATTATTGGCTTCCAACATTTGGACACTGTAAAAGTTGAAGGCATCAGTGCTTTATTTATTTAAAACATTTATGTCTAACCATGCAATTGTAAACAGAGTTACACTGTTTTAAGCCTTTTGACTTCAATGGACAAAACAACTCTGTTTTGGATCACACTATAAAAGTATTTTTTTATGTTATTTATAGTCAGCCTTTCTCACAGGGACTTAAGGTGGATTACACAGAGTGAGTCAATACAATCAACAAAATGGGTCATTCAATAAACAGTGCATTTTAGGACTATCGAAGTCTAGAACCAAGCAGAAAGAACTGAAACACAGCATAAGTATTCACATGACACATTAAGTGGTACAAAAATTATATAATAGGATCCTACTTATAGTAAGCTATATGCAGCAGTGCAGGCCACAGTCCCTGGTCATTTATCCAAGTAAGTTTGTGAACCATTTTGTACAGTGCAACCCGATTACATGTGCAGACAAGCCCCCTGGAATTATTTGATTTTCCATAGTTTGCAGAAAACCAGGAGAGTGGAAGCCTTCCTGACCTCCTCAGGCCATTCCATAAGGTGGGAGCCACAACGGAGAAACCGTTTTTGCCCATTTGCTGGTTGGCACCTGCAGAACGCCTGCTGACATTAGTGAAAATGTCGTGGTGGAGCACAGGGGAAGAGGCGGTCCCGCAGATAAGAGGGATCAAGACCTCTTGTATGTGAAAGTCAATACCTTAAACTGAGCCTGCTAACAAATGGGCAGCCAATGGAGCATCTGCAGAATAGGAGTACTATGCATACTCCATCTAGCTTTGTCTACCAGATGGAATTTCCAAACTGGGTTTGAGGGGAAACCAATGTTTCTTACAGTACAGTAGTCTAATCTCCATGTTACAGCAGCATGGAACCAGATAACCAGATCAGCCACATCTAGGTAAAGGGCTATCTTATAGACTAGGCTGAGTTTGTAGGAACCAATTTTTTGTAATTGTATTAGCTTGCCTCTCCAGTGGTAAAGCTGGATCCAGTATGCCCCAAGGCTTTTAACTGTCATCAAGGGTCAGCTGAACTCCATCAGAAGTGAAAAGAACAATGTCCTTCAAGGCCTCCACCTTCCCAGTCAGTGTTACCTCTGGCTTTTCAGAGTTTAGTTTCAATTTGTTCACTTTTAGCCAATTAACCACAGCAGCCAGGCAGCTGTTCAGGAAAAGAAATGAGCTTTAATAGTCAAGAACACCTGATATATTTCCTTGACTTTTTGAAAGCAACTGCATGAGAAAAGGCAAAACTGGGACAAAATAAAAAGAACTGGAAAAGCTGCTGACCACAACCCATATTGAAACCTGCTTCATAAAGGTGTAGCACTCAGCAGTTCCTTCTTCCCTACCACATGCAGCAGAGCTCCTCTGAGCTGGTTTCTTGTGTTGCTCTAATTGACTTCCACTAATTGCCCTTCAAGGGAATATCTTTTCAAGGTATCAGACTGTGAAGTGACAGCAGGAGACACAGTTCTGGCTGTGCAAGGTGCTCGTTTGCTAATAAGCTAAGTGGCATAATATTATTCTTCTCTGTTTGTCACCTGGCTCTGGGAGGCATCATGCTATCGAGCAAAAAGCACTGGGGATTCAAGAAGGGGATCGAATTAATGGGGTTTACTTCTTCCTGAAGTCAGTTGCTGACTTGAGGACAGAGTGTGTCCTGAAGCAGATCTTATCTGAAGCCCCCAGCATGTGTAGAATCTTCCCATTTCCTTCCATGAGGTGAAATATGCATAGGAAGTTCTGTTTGAGCTGCAACATCCCGCTTAGAGAAGAGAGAAGATTGCTCAGTATGTGTACCAGAAGGAATTGCTAGATCACACAACAATGGCTTTTCTTTCACCATTTCTTCTGTTCCCATCCATGTTGTGCTATCCGCTTTTCCTGGCTTAATCTTTGTGGAAGCAGTACAAAAAATGTATTATGTTCTCATTCTGAGATGTTCTGTTAATATCAAGGGCACCGAAGTACTTGATTTGTAGCTTGACCAATCTACTAGTGGCTTTGGACATAATGGGGTTGGAGAGGAATAGGATGCAAGAATCAACATGCTCAAAATCAAGCTCCCCCCCCCACCTTTCTCCTAGGAATTCAGGATGGCATATGTGGTTTCCCTCCCCATTTTATCCTTACAACAACTCCTGAGAGGTAGCTTAGTCTGACAGATAGTATCTGGCCCAGAGTCAGCAGACCTTTATTGCACAGTAGGGCTTGAATCCAGGTCTCCTTGAATCACTGCACTGTACTGGCTTTCAGCTTTTGTGCATCTTTTCACTTATTTTCTTTCAATATGTTTACTCTGATTTTCTTCCAATCTGGGTACTCAAAGAAGTTTACCAAATGAGTTACACAAAGTAACATACAGTTTACATAAAGTCTTAAAGAAGTACAGCCCCAAAGACCTTCAGTATACCTCTAAGCATGAGATAAGCCACATGGTCAACCCAATCTGGCACTGATTCTACCACCATGGCTCATACAGGGCAACAGTTGCAAGCCACAGGCTAAGAGTTAAAGGGACA